GAAGTAGTTTTGTTAGGACAGCAACAGAATAGATTGTGTTAAGATAAGACCATGTATGAAATTTCTGTCCCCCCTGTTTCTTCATATATATGTTTTTTTTTTTCTTTTTTGCTGTGAGACCTGTAAAAACTTCTCAGGATGCTCCCTGTCCTAGGTATCATATTTTAAATGGCAATGAGTACACAGCAGTTTAACCCCTCAAATGGCCAGGACACACCAGAGGACCCGAACTTTTATTAAACATCAATAACACAGACAGTTTGCATTGTAGTACATGTAATGTATGAATAATAAACTTTAAGATATAATAAGCCTCTGATTTAAGGTGTAAATATGAGAACAGTTTTATTTTAGGGGAACATGATAATTAATATAACTCTGAAATTGCCTTTACCCCTAGAAACCAAAAGCACCAGCTGACTGTCCTTAAGCATGTTCACATGGCTGGTCCCACCACTTTAAATGGCATCAGCACAGAAGTCTCTGCTGCTCTAAATGTAATTCATAGAAATAATTAGCATCAGTGTTAATGTGAAACAGCATTATAGAGAATAAATGCTCATGGAAGCTTTTGGATCTTAGATCCAGAGCACACCACAGAAAACATTAAACTGGCTTTAAATTGGTTTAACTGCCTTAAAATGTTCTAACACTTATCTATCTGGCTTGGTTGCCATCTCTCAAAAACATGACATTCTTTTGTGGTATCCAAGAATTTGAAAGTGGGTGGACTCATGGGTGGATTTTTGTCTTTCTGCCACCACCGAACCATCTTGCATTGGTTTAGCAGTACTCATTCGTAATTAAGCTGTGGTTCTGAACTCTTAAAACTCCAGTGTTCTCGTGTTTCTGAGGGCTGTGCTCTGTGACTGCTGCTAAACGCTTGAAGTTGCAGCCTATAAATTATTCACCTGTTAGGTTAATGACTACGGCAATCTGGACAGCTAAATTGTCCTTTCACCCAGGTGTCACAAGGAAGGTGATTCGGCATGATCATCATCACTGGTGGTTTATTATTGTTTTTATCCTTATCATTTCTTTTGTTTTATAGTCACAGACATTATATTCATCAGCAGTGCCTTTATGATCACCATTACTAGCGCTTTATTATTGTTTTTTATTAGGGATGCACCAACATAGGAATTATGTGCTTATACTGATATCTGATATTTTTCATGTACATAGCCTGATACATAAACATTTGATGAGTTTCAATACAAAGTGCTGAATATTATAACAATTTTGGATATAACAAGTTTTTGAAACAAGTACAAGAAACAAGAGTAACAGCTAATTTGTTTATAACGTAGAAATTTGAACTAGTTATACCTCAATCAACATTATTAAAAAAATACAGCATTTATTTCTATAGGATTACAAACGAGGTTACATTAATAAAATGCAGACATGCTTGAGTAATAGCCCAGTGTCACTAAATGTTGTGCTAATCTGGAGTGCAATAATTACATCATCAAATATTGGTCAAGTCTAAACAGCTGTCCCATGCCAATAAATCTTTAAAGCAATTATCTGTCAATACTGGTGTGATTCTGATGTTGTGCATCCAGTTTTTATTCATGTCATTTTTTTCTCTTTCATAATGATGGTCATCATCATGAACATCATCATTTTTTATCGTCATTGGAGGCACATGTTGGTTCTATTTTTGTTAAAATTTTTATCACTTCCCCTTACTTCAATACCTATAAATGATTGAATGAATGAATAAATAAATAAATAAAAAGTGAAAAAAAAACACTGAACATATAAAATATAAACAGAATGTCAGGGTGCCAACTCAATATCTTTTTTCTCCAAAAATTCAAAAGCATGGGTCACGTTGGGGTGCTGGAGCCTATCCCAGCTGTCTTTGGGCAGAAGGCAGGATACATATGTTCCATATTTTTATATTTAAAGAAGTTTACATTTAATAGCACGCATATTCTTTTCGATGTTAACCTTCTTCTGCAGCCCCCCCTAGTGGCCATTCCACTGGTGGAATGAAAATTGACTCCCATATATTTAATAAATATAAACAAATTAAAAGATCCTTATATAAAAATTAGATTAACTAGGACACTTTAGGCACTCTGTGTGTGAAATGTTGTGTGTCTGTGTTGAGCTGCTAGTGAGCAATGAGGCTGTAAGGGCAGGACTGAGAACCCCTTCTGTAAAAACAATTTACACCTCACCACCTCTCCTCTGTGCTGAAAGAAAATGGACGGCACAGCTGCAGCTTTCTTCATATCAAACAAACCTGAACGGCTGCCATAATAAAAAATAGCATTTAAGCACAATAAAAAGACACTTTTATAAATGTTGCTTGCTGAGTTATGAAGATGAAAATTGCTTATGGTTTTGTAAATCATATACATATTGAAATATGTTCCATCAATGTTACTGAAGAAAAAATGCTGCATAGTTCAACTGAGGGGCCTCCAAAACAAGAAATAGCATGGCAACTACAAAAAAGGTTAAACAAGAAGGTAACTCTTTCAGCTGTGTACTTACAGAAGATGGGCACACATTTTTCCAGTGAATGCTAATCAGAGGTGTACCGGTTTGCTTTCATGTTTCCTAAGTGATAATGTCTTTGGTTATAGGTCTAAAATATAGTTTTAGACAGCCAGACATTTCTCTGCAGCGAATCTTAGAAATAACTCTGGGTACTTGCTTGTAAAAGTTCTGATTCACTGCACAGACCCAAAAGCATTGAAATAAAGTATCATGTCTTCTCTTTCATTGTCATGGTCCTCATCATGAACCACATCATTTTCATTGCCATCAGAAGCTCATGTTGGTCCATTCTTGTTCATATTCTTCATCACTGCCCTTTACTTCTAGCATGAGATCTCTGCTTAATTATTCCAAATGTCAAAGGCAGGATTCACCCTTGCATGCGGGGGACACTTCCGCTTTTGTGTGTTTGGAAGCCCCTGAAATGTCAGCCGCAGCCGGTTTCCGTAGCGAAGGCTCCCCCTCAGCCTGCTCTAAAATCGACCTAATTGCCTTACCCTGCTGAGATGAAGTACTAATTGGAATATCTTATCCTAATTAACCTTCTCAGATCCACATGTTATTTTTATCTCACTTTTGTGTGGTGTATGTGTGTGTGTGTGGAGGGGACAGAAGAAAGAACCGGGAGTGCTAGAACACAGGCCAGAGCAAGGTTCGCTTCAGGTTTCCATGATCTCCCTCCATCTCTCTTTCTCTCTGTCACTTATTGTCAGCGTCACATCCTCCTCTCTTCTTAGCACACGCTTATGCCTTGATCATGATGGCATAGCCAAGTACGGCCAGACAGATTAAGTTACTATCATCGCTGTGTGGAGACGAGGCAGCTTTAGAGTTCTGTTACATGACCAGCACACGCACACGCATGCACACTGTAATGTTGAGCTCCATGTTGAAGTTTATGTAATCGTCTCTGTAGGTGTATGGCAGATAGAGTGACCGTTTACCTCCATTAGCAACTGTTATCTACATGCAAAATATTTTTTAACATGTAATTAATCCCCCGGAGAGTACAGAGAATTGAAGTGCTGCCCAGCGTCGCAGAGACGCACCCAACAGCTGGGACCTGGGTTTCTGTCCCAGTTGTGCCGCATGCTGTCTGCGATTGGGGAGCACAGGATCGCATAGCATCTCAGTGGTGCACAGTGAATTAGGGATCTCTTTCACCTCTGTCGTTATGCGTAACAGCCTGGTGTCTGTGCACTTGTGTGGCAGACTTGTGCAGTTTTTGAGTGTGTTTTTCTGTGGAGGCTTTGCATTCCAGGAATTGTGCGCTTGTTCTTGTCCTCTCAACTGGGGTACTGAAATAAGAACGAGGCTGAGTTGTGAAATGGCTATAACTAATTAACGGGAGAGATAAACTATTGCTCAACAAGAAAAAAAAAGAAAATGATCTGCCAAAGGAATGAGATAATTTCAATTAATAAAATGACTTAAAACAGGTTGAATAGTCTTATAATGTTCTTTTATATCATACTGTGCAAAAGTGCAAAAATAGACCATGCTTCATTTATTTAATGTCCAGTCAAACAGCAATTAAGTACGACTTATTAATTTTTCAGGGTCGTGAAAGGAGCAGAGAACATATATTTAACAGAAAATTACACAGAAGCCTCAATAAATAAATATAATATCACATTTTTCAGTATTTAGTGTATTCACGCTTTGCTGTTATTACAACTTCCAATCTTTTTAGGAGAATTGCAAGTAATTCCAAACACATTCAGTGATGTTTAGGTCTGGACTTTGAGGTGGTCAGTCTGTTGCTCTGAGAATACCAGCAGCTTCTTTGCAAATTTTCCTGTTTTCTGATTGTTTCCTTTTATCAGTAACAGTTTCTTGACAGTTGCTTATCCTTTTAGACCCATAGTGTTGAATTGCCTTCTCACAGTGGAAAGATGGACAGAACTGTGGATTTTTTCAGATCTGAAGCAAAAGTGGACCTTGATTTTCTCCTCTCTCTCTCCCCTTTTTACTCTTTTTATCATTTTTTGACATCTAGTTTTGGAAACCCGTTTTATCAACTTATGTTGTGTTTGACTTTTTTTCCTTTCTTTTGCAAGTGGATTACCTTATTTATATAATCCGCTCAGAAATATCTTTTGAAAAATGACGAACTTGTACTATTAAACATTTTGGCCTGTTCACAAAGCATTAAAGATCTTCTCTGAGACATGATTCCAGTGCACAATTGCATTTTATATTATGTCACATAGGCTAGACAGTAACTCCAGTTATGAGGACCCACTGCGCTGCACTGTTTCAGCTATACTGCACTGTATACCCCACTGTCTACAGCTATATATAGCTAACACTTGATCCAACTCATCAGGTAATTATCAAGCCCTTCATGGATTAGGTGTTTTTGGGGTAGGAAATGTTATAGAGCAAAGCAGGGGGTCCTGTGGACTGGAATCCATGGGGTTCACAATCACCCTTCTCTGATTAATGCTCTTTCTTATTCTCCCTCTCTCTCACTCCCCCAGCACAAAGTCCATGGGCAAGGCTTTATCCGGGTGCATGCACCCTGGCAGGTCCTGAGCAGGGAAGCAGAATTCCTCAAGATCAAGGTGCCCACCAAAAAGGTGTGTCTTGCTTTAGTTCATATACACTCTGGAGGTGTCAACTTTCTCTTATTCTTAATGTGGATGTTCAGAACCTGTGGGGTCTCTGTACTGAGTAAACTGCCCACAACATTTGGACATTTAGGGTCTTTGGGTAAAAAGAAGCTAGGTCACTCAAGTGTCAAATATTTGAGCAGGACTTGTTCTTTTCTCCGTCAAAGAATTCTAAAGCATGGTTGCTCATCATCTAGTCTTGGAGGTCAGTTAGTGAAGTGCACGTTGGTATTACTGGCAATCCCACAAAAAATGCTAAATAAAAAATGAAAAATGTGTATATCAGCTTAATTTGACACTGAATAGATGAGAAAACTCAAATTTCAGTAAAAAATCATTCAAAAGATTTTTTGTTTATAACTGACACATATACACATTAATATTTTATCTTTTAAAGCCTTGAAGTTTTTAATGAACTCTTTTAAGTAATCATCCATCCAGACCTGCTTCACTAGGGTACAAGTATGAGGTGAAATGCAGGGCAAACACCCTTAGTCATCCATCAGCATGGGGATGATCAAAGAATCCACAAAATAAACAAGACAGAAAGTTGATAAAGGTGTATAAAAATAGCTTTACACCTGAAAATACCCATGTCTACTATACGGACAATGATTAAAAAAATTAAAAAAAGACTGAGGGGTGAGCTAAAGAGGAATGTCCACAAAAAAATGGACCGTTCAGTAGTTCCATCATTGAATTTGGATACGCTTGAAGTAAATATACATAAATGACTCAGTTCAAAAGTTTGGAATCAGTTATCATATTCTATAATAATGTTTTCTTTTTAATTATAATTTATTAACTTTCTAATGATCTGTTTAAAGTAATTTATTGCCAAGAACTTTGTCACCTCTTCTCAGTTATGCGCTATTTTGGATATTTTTTATAGCTTAATTCCTTTAAGAATGGTCAAGAACTCTGTTCATCATTCTGGTCACTACAGTTTCTTAATTTTGTACAGCTTCCTACAAATGATCCGAAACTTTATATTAGCATTATTTTAGAACAGTATTATATTAGTATTATATTAAAGTTATTTTATCTGCAACACTTTTTCTATGTTATTGTTCGTATGTGGTTTATTGTTTTTTTCTTTCTCAGCTTGATGTCAATAGTTTTGTTTTGCCTCATGTTTTGATGTTCTACTGCATGTGTCTCTCCCAGAGCTATGAGATGAAGGAAGACAAGGGTCTGTCTGCCACTATGAGCGCAGTATGGAGGAAGCTGAACCAGCCCTTCCAGCCCAACATTCCCCACCTGCAGCAGCAGAGCCGCACTAAGTTCCTCTCGCACAGCTTCTCCCGGGACAAGCTCCATCTGTGAGGAACCTCTGGGGAACCTTAAGGGTTCGCGCATGGGGGAGGATGATTTAACGAGATTTCTCTTAGTGCCGAAGGCGCTCATACCACTCAAAAACATAAACCCTCACTCATGACTTTGGCAAAACCTGCCTTTACTCAGCCTCGCTGCTTTTTTGTCTTTTTCAGGTACAACATTGAATCCAAGGACACCTTCTTTGACAATGCCACGAGGAGCCGAATCGTAAGTCCTTCTCCTTCCTCAGTGCGGAAGAGGTCATCTCGTTTAATTGGGACAGCACGGTTAGAATTGGCTGGCCTGGTTGTTGTGTGAGTCTGCTGGAATAATGTGGTTATTTACCAGCAGCCTGAGATGACGCTGCCCTCTGTAGGCATATTACTAGGAGACAGTTCCTCTGGGGGCTTTCTAGGAACACTTTGTTTTGTTTGTCACTCCCTTTCTCTCTCTCTCTCTCTCTCTCTCTCTCTCTCTCTCTCTCTCTCTCTCTGTCTCTCTCCCCCACCCTCTCTTTCTCGTTCTCTCCTCTCCTCCCAGGTGTACGAAATCCTCAGACGCACCGCCTGCACACGGACCTGCCAAACCATGGGTTAGTATTGCAATAATCTGTAACCAAGGCGATGAAAAAGTGGTAGAGAGATCCTGAGGAAAGCCAGGATGAGAGGCCCACTGGTTCCGATGCTGGCGAATCTGGGTGCTGGAGAGAGGCCTCTGCCATATGCTCTCCTGGACCGATCTGCTCAGCAGACGGACACTGCCGGCAGCTACGGGGAGATTGAGGCTAGCTAACAGAAGGGGTTGGGTTCACGCTCTCTTTATCTAGACTTCTCTCTCTACTCACTCACTTGCTGTCTTCCTCTCTGTCTCCTCTACTGTCTAAACTGGGTCATGCAATCCCACGATTGGGCTCAGAATTGAAGCGGAGTCCATGGGGGGTGGAGGAGTGGAGTGGTGGTCCCTCCAGCTTGTTGCTGGGGAGCCACTTTATTAATCGAGGGCTAATCACCGGAGTGTGTGTGTTGTTCCTTTGAGGACTGATTAATTACTTTGATGAAAGCCTGTGTTCTACATGTCAGCCGCTTTCCATTTTGAAAACCCTGTGTGCTAGCTTCACACAAAGCAAAGCAGCGGGGTCGTGCCAATCAGCCAGTGGTACTTTATGGTGATTTCTCTCTTTGCTTGCAGGAATCACCACATTAATAGCTAAAGGAGTGTATGACTCTGCCTTTCCTCTGCATGATGTGAGTTGAGTTTGTGCAGTTCTTCATCTGAACCTTCATTTTTGACCCAAATGTTGATCATTACATTAACTGTTTCAAAATCCAGCATTTAGTACGTTGAAAATTGTTAATGTATGATTTGCTGCAGGGAGACTTCAAGGACAATGAACATTCAGAAGGGACGAATGACAGACAGGTGACTAGCCATTTTTTTGTACATTTATTTATCTTCTCTGTGCAGCCCCTTAAGTGGTCATTCCACTGGTGGAATGGAAATCAACTCAAGCATTATTATCAGGTTAAGTAGGGCTTTCTGTGTGAAGGTTGTGACTCTGTGGATTGGATTGGAACCTCCTGTTGTAAAAACAGTTCAAAACTACTGTCTTGATATCATAAAAATCATGTACAACTGCCAATAAAAAACAACATTAACTACAAAATAATACTTTTAAAAGTGCTGACTTGCTTGCTCACCTACAAAGACAAAAATCCAGTTCACTTCCGGTTCTGCAAATCATACACATTTCCTATAAAATATATTCCATCAATGTTATTATTATTAAAGAAAAAAATGCATAGTTCTACTGAGGGACCTGTTGTATTTATTGTATTTATGGCTACTGTAAAAAGGGGTTTAAAAAAAAGGTTCCACAAAGGGTCCTTTTGAGCGATGCCATGGAACAGCCACCTTTGGTTGTTTAAGGACCTTTCAGTGGATTGTTCTTTCAGGATTCATTCTTCTAAATGAGATGTGTGAATGTGAAGATCTTTTTAAAGTTTAATGAACTGCCTCATAAGGTTCTGTTCAATTAAAGGTGATCACTTAATGTCCAAGTCGTAACTAATTAATTACATTTAAAACTGTACTTATGTATTTGTGTAGCATGTAAGGCATAATGGGCACTTTTTGTACACATATGCCATACAACCTGAATTTTTCTCACTGTTTCAGCTTTTACATGATGAGTGGGCAAGATATGGAGCCTTTTTCAAATATCAGCCACTTGACCTTATTAGGTACATGCCATTTTTAATAACACACTGTTTTTCATAAGATGTGATGAACGTTTACCAATACTTCATGCGTGATTTCTAAAGACTTTGACTTTTGCCCTCAGGAATTACTTTGGGGAGAAGATAGGCCTCTACTTCGCCTGGCTTGGCGTCTACACTCAACTGCTAGCCCTGGCCTCTTTGGTGGGCATCATTGTGTTCCTATACGGCTGCTTTACCATTGACTCCAATATACCCAGGTATGAGGCAGTGCACACTCACTAGGTGATAGGCTTCAGGCCTGCTGTGTTTGGGCATGGGCATCATTTTGTTTATAAAATAAACAAATATTCAATTAATATTTTAAGTAAAAACAAATTATGCAACCCAAAATGCTGCTACGACAAAGTAATGGCCCTTACATATGATGTCATTGAGCTTATCATGAAGTTTTTCAACATAGTCATTCTTGGTAGCTCATTGAAAAAAAGAGCCACCACCGTTAGATTGTGTTTGTCGTTGTGGAACTTGTTAATGATTGTAAACTTTAGCATTGCAGGCTCATACAAACATCATGTTCAGTGATTGATAACACCTAGCAAATGCTCGTGGCAGGTCTTTACAAACATTCAAAATGCAATGTTAGATAAAACTAATACATAACGGACTACTAAAGACTTTTTAGAAATCACAGTGTAGCAGGCAAGCAGAAACATGACATTTCTGTGCAAGCCAGAAGGTCAGTTCATGTAGTGGTCAAGGTAGAGCTTCAGTATGATGGTGTTTTGTTGCCTGTATCTGAAACCATTTATTTGAAGAACCTCTGTTAAGAATTGTAGGTTGTACGATATTTTATGGCAGTGGTTTCCAGTCTTGGTCTTGGCGTAACCCTGCCCCACATATTTTGGTGTTTTTCATGCTCTAATAATAGATTTGATTAATCAGCTAATTTACAAGCCCTTCCTGAGATGAAAAGTGGTTGTGCTAGAGCAAGGAGAATGGAAAATGTGCAGGGCAGGGGTTACTCTAGAACCAGAGTTTGGAACCACTGTTCTATGAGATTGTGAATTTCCAAGATTGTGCTCAGGCATGGTAAAATGCACAAGAAGGGGTGGTAGTGTGTCATTTAAAACTTTGCTGCCATGGCTCTTGTCATTCTGGACTTTAAAACTTGCCTGGGGCTTACACTGTAAGCAGAATATAATCCCTGAGGGATAACGTGATATTTTGAAAATGTCACTACCATTGAGAATGCAAGATCAGTCTATTAAATGCAGAGATTTAATTTTAGAGACTTTGAAAAGAATGTTGATAGCAAAGCTAGGTACTTACTACAAGTAACAAAGGGCTGCCATGAGGAGAAGTTTGAAAATGGTTTATTGAACACATTGACATGGTAAAATCACTATAGCTGTATTAATATTTCTTGTATTCTACTATTAGCTGTTTTTCTTTTCACTTCCATGTTAACTGACAGTGTGTTGGGAACAGTAGGCCATGGTTTGTTTCATTTCAGTTTGAAAGGACTTTTACTGGCATGAAGTGACACACCATAATGTAAAGCTTTATTTCGTACACACCTCCTGATCTCTCCATCTCCCAATTAACTAACATTCTTTCTCTTTATATTTTATAATAGCACATGAATGTTATGTAATAACATAAAAGCTCTAAATGTTAATATGCTATTTTAGTCAGATTTACATAACAATTGGTGCCATGAATACACTAAAATGGGTGCTATGATATTATTAGCCTACTTTTTTCAATGCTTTTAAATTACTTTTCTTTTTGAGGTATAGTTTATCAACCTAGCTTGCAGCATACTAGCTAGTTAATACATTTTTTTGCCTGTATAAGGTTTTCTATTTTCAATTAATGTCACCCTGCTTAAAACTTTCAGCAGGAGGGTCAAGCAGGGTTTTCCCACCACTTGTTCTGTTTTCCGTATGTAGGCAGGTGAAGAAGGTGTACGAGACACCTGTACCAAAAAAGTAGTTTTTTCTGTACATGATCAAGTGAAGTAAGTAAAGAAATGTATTTTATTTCAAGTAACAAATGTAATATTGCTGACTTGTTTTAAAGATATGACCTTGTCCCTGACAATTAGCTTTTAACTTGACTAGCTAACTAACATTTTTTTTGTTCAGTTATAAAGTAATGCTTGTTTCCACTGGCCTGCTGGAGGGTCTCTAGTAGGAGCTTGCTACATGATAAATGTCATAATTTTATAGCTGAATATTAATTCTTTGCACATATTAACTGTAGTTTAGTAATTCATTTAGCACAGTGGGCTGAAGACATAGCTAACATTAACCTAGCTAGAAGGCACTTGGTTGAACACTCCACATTGTACTCGTGTGTGCAATAAACAAATGAACCATGGTCTGGCAAAGTTGGGGGTCACGAACTGTGGTTTGGTTCACTGCTGGTGGGAACTCATTTTTGTGATGTCTGCACCAAATGGGGGAAATTAGCATCAGATCAGCATGAGTGCTTTTCTGCTTCGTAGTCTCTGTATAATCTGCCTGTTTTAACGGCTGACTGTCTACAGATGGTCATAATGTTCATGCAGCCCGAGCTGCTACTTATAACGGCAGACAAGCAATAAAATAATAGCGAAGTGATCATTATTGGTTTGATTATGATGCACGTAGATGTTAAGTATCTTTACTTTCATGCAAAGGAGTTTTTTGGCTCAAATGACGGCAAATGTCAAAGTAACACAGGCTTGTATCCCTGCCTATTTAACAAGTAAACAAGTACTCACATTTGTAATTTGGTGCGCTTTAATTGTTGCAGTGTGAAACAAACTGAACCAAATTAAATAGTTACATGATGTCACAAAAACTCTGGTTCAAACTTTAGCAAACAAGCTAGATGTGAGAACAGCTTAATTATAAAACGGCGCATATTTAATCAGGCAATGGGCCACAAATCAGGCAAAATTAAGGAAAGTACTTTTGCCTTCAATCGGTGTGTGCACTGTACTGCATGCAGTCGAAATGAGGGTGAAAGCAACTTCTAAAAGCAACTTCTAAAAGCAGCATGCCAACCATCAGAGGATTTCACACACTCTAAACACTGTTTATGACCTCTGCACAGTAATGTGTGTGTATATACAGTATAGATAATCGCATTTGATTCACTTTTTTATATGGCAGTTAATTCTGACACCATTGTACAATTCACCCTGTTTTAATCACCCTCTGAATGTACTGTTGGACTGATATGACCATGTTTTGGATGTGTTTGTGTGTTGGTTCTTCCAGTCTGGAGATGTGTGATGAGACACAGAACTTCACCATGTGCCCGCTGTGCGACCGGGCCTGTGACTACTGGCATCTGAGCACAGCCTGTGGCACTGCCCGTGCCAGCCACCTCTTCGACAACCCGGCCACTGTCTTCTTCGCCATTTTCATGTCCCTCTGGGGTAGGCATCCTCTTGTTTATGCATCAGCTTTTCATTCTTCTTCTCTATCTTCATCGCTATTTATTGAATACTACTCTGTAGTCATCAGACTCTTAAATTCTAAAGTCCCCAAGACTTCTGTTCCTCACCCTTTCTTAGTAGTTTTATAGTTGTCCCTTAGTAATTTATAGTGGTTAATGGATACTGTGTCTTAAAATTGAAGTAAAAGTTCTGCTAAAAAAAAAAATAAATATCTACACAGTTTTCCTTGGAGAAATATGGGTGATGATTGTCAAGTTTTGCACTGGAGCTTTGAAGTTAATGTAGCTAACAAGCACCTAAATTATCACATGCTTAACTCAAACTACATTGAATTTTTTAAATAATGTCATATCGACTATAGGTAGGTGAAAACAGTAGTAGCAGACCTCCTGAAGCCTGTCTGATGTCTGAACATTTTACTGTCACTTTAATAAATAAGTAATAAGCCTGGAGGTTAAAGGGTTAACAAATTGAGCAGAAGTGATACAGGTCTGTTGAGAACCACCTTCGCAGCTTCTCAGTTTGGACTGTTCTGTGTGCTGCCTCAGCACCTGCTCTGGATCTGAATCCCAGGTGACGGGCACCATGAGTAAGCAGATATGTTGCTATGTCTCTATGGAGATGAAGATAAAGGCTTGTGTGTACAGTACGTGCGGGTGATGAATGAGCAGGTGTAGCATTACCTGTGCCTGTCAATGGCTGCTCAGGCCTAGTCTTGGCTCTGCCGTCATCGGCCCTTCTCCTGGAGCCTTTGTGAAAGTACTTTTTTTTTCACAGCTGCGTGTGGCAACAAGGTATATGCATTATTCCTCATACACAACCCCCAGTGAGGAGCAGATGGAGTGCTTGTGTGTACAGTCATGCACCTGGAGCGGCTAATATTTATTGGCTTTCGAGTACTTTTTTCAAACTGAGAGCAAATGTTGTCCAAGTATTTGTCTAAGATGAATGGGATGATTTGTTATCTAAATTTGTAGTCCTGTTCTTCAGGAGGAGTTGAAACTGTGCTGGCACTAAGAAAGCGATGCGATTTATTACAGACTAAACAAACCTATTAACGTAATTAGTGACGCAGTGTTTTTGCTCATGTTTTTATTTCTCTCTTTCTTGCTCTCTCTCTCTTTTTCTGTCCCACTGGCCTTCTGAAACAGCGGTCATGTTTCTGGAGCACTGGAAGCGCAGACAGAACAGCTTAAACTACAGCTGGAATATGACAGGAATGGAGGAGGAAGAGGTGTGTGTCTACTGGAAAATTTACCTTCATCCAGCACTTGTTCACATGATCAGCCATATATGATGAGGTGGAGGCCAAGAGTTACATGTTGGTCCCCAAGCACAAAAATAACAGGACTCTCTCTGTCAGTCATATGTCTACATGTTATTTTGGCACTCCTTAAGCTTAAACTAGGGGAGACTACCTTAAGGCTGAATTGTACTCTTGCATCTGCAAACATGTGAGAGTTTTTGTGCATTTTTTTTGCATAGATATCTGTCAACATATAGTAGCATACAGTGCGCAGAAGTTTGGGTGCCCCGGTCAGGTTACGTTTTGCTGATTTTCTAAGTGAAAATTAGTGCACAGCCTCTACAGAGAACACACTTCTGGACATTTCAATACACAATTACTCTTTATTTGCTGAATTTAAAGCAAATAAATAGAAATTGTGCACTAAAATAATAAACATATTTAAGTGTTAACTTATTTTCACTTTCAGAAAATCAAAAAAACAGTTTGCAGTAGGGGGGCAGTGTCCAAATCAGAATATACAGAATAGAAAGAGGAAAGTGTCGCATTTTTCCTCCCTTTCTCCAAAAATTAATAAATGCTTCATTGTTTTGTGATATTTTGGAGACCGTATAAGTGTTGCACCTCTTCCACCAGCCAATGCTCAAATTGCTCAGTTTGATTTTGCATTAATTCTGCTTCATATTGGGTATCATTTGGGTCTCGTCCTGCCCCAAAGCTACCAGATAGCCAAACAACGTGTGCTTGACAGACAGCTCCACAGAATCGCACAACACATAGTTGACATTTTGGAGAAGTGCATATTGTAGCGTCTGCAAAACTACTCTTACCCATTAATCACTTCTTGTTTAGGCTTAGAAGAGCAACAATTATAGGCTGTTTGTAGCTCTTTTAGGCCTAAACACAAGTAGTAAATAGTTCACGATATACATGTATATGGGTTTAAAGCTGTTTCTTATGACAGCTTTTTTTAAAAAAATTTACATAACTCTGTGTTGATTAAAGAAATGTGTTTGCACGCTAGCTTGCCTAAAAATAGCCGTAATATAAATTAATGGCTGTAGTGCTGCTTGTTTTACCCAATGTAGTTTTTGTTTTCATTTGATATATTCCCCTCTCCTCCCTGAAAATGCAATCTTCCCCCTCAGGAACGGGCAAAGGTTTGAATATTTTTTCCTTTTGTAAACTGTCTCCTCCGAGATTCCGTAGATAACTCTTGGAGCTTGCCCTTGCTTTGTGTCCTTGAGTTGCTGTGGGTTTTGACCTATTTGAATGGTTTGAAATTCCTCCAAATGAAGTCTCAACAGTCAGCCAGCAGGTCACACACAGAATATGAAATTAATATTACAGTTTGGCCTCTCGTCCGCAGGAGCACCCCAGACCTAAATACGAAACCCTACTCCTTCAGAAGAGGCAGAGGAAGAGAAAAAATAGAAAGAAGAACAAAAGCGAGGTGAGTAGTTCGCTCATAAAAAGCTCAAAGCTTTAATGAAACAGTCATCTGCTGTTTCAGTTGCTGGTAAATTAACAACTTTTCTAGGTGTTCACTTTGGATTCTAAACACATTAGAAATGCGCTAGTTAGGCACTTTAGAAACTTTGCTTTTGTACCGAAGTGACTGTCATACACTATCTTGACAGCTTTTTGTACTGTCAGATGCTGTCGGCTTTTGTTTTGAATAATGACTGATTTTGAACAGATTTCTCACTTTTGCTTTTGCTCTGTGCAGAACTGTCACCGAGGAGTGCAGCACTCGCAGCATATATATTTTGTTTTCTTGGAAGGAATACAAATGAGGACTTATGGTTATAGGGCTGGTACCAAACGCTATGAGCCGCCAGCAAATGCTTCCATGATGCACTGCTCTGGCTTGAGGCGTTTGGCACCAGAACTTTGGAGGTTTGGTGGGCTGCTCTCCGCACTGGTTCTGCCAGGGCAGAAGGAGGGGGTTGAGGGAGAGAGAAAGAGAGAGAGAGGTAGAGATAGAGTGAGACTGGCAAGCAGTGTAGAGGAAGGTGAGAGCACAGCTTCTTCATTCACGAGCAGCACTGTTGGCTGGCTGGAGGCCCCTTTTTGCGTGCTGTTTCCTGTTAGTATGTGATCCGTGGGCTCTGTGTGTTCCAGCCTGAGAAAAGTGTGGAGGAGAGCATCGATCTGGGCAAGGACAAATGGAGACAGTGGTTGCTGTCTGCCATGGCTACAGGGAACCCGGTAAATGCTGCTCTCTCTCTTTCTCTGTTTCTCGCCCCCCCTGCAGTTCCTCTAGAGCCTTCTCTGCACCTGCATCTCTGTGCTTCTCTGTGTCTCTCTTTAACTCTCTGCCTTGCTGTGGGGCTGCGGGGTTTCTTCTCTCTCTTATACACTTGTGGCCTGGGGACCTTCTTTTCTTGGCTGTGGGATCGCAAGGGTTCTCTGTCTGCATTTCTGGCCCTGCTTAGCTCGTAGTGGTTGGTTCTGACTAGCACTTTGGTTCTACTTTCAGTAGTCCTAGTAATGTTGGGTTTTTCTGTTAAAGGTCTTCTGCCACTGCTGCCAAAACCTGTATCAGTTTTTACATATTTTCACGTTCAGTTCAGTAGAAATTTAGGTGGGACTAAAAGCAACTTGTCGGGAGTGTGTGTGTTTTGTTTCACTGGCAGGAACGATCTTCGATCTGGTAATTATTTAGGTGTGGCATAAGGGTTATTAATTACAGGTACAATAAAATTAGACCTAGAACTGGTAAGATTCAGTAAGTCTTTGGTATAATTGCTATTACACTTGTCCCTGAATGTGTTGTAATGCTCATAGGGAAAACTGAGATTAATGAGATGAATCAAAATCAACTTATCCCCATAAGACTTTGTTCTTCACCACAAAATTAGCCAGAATAAAATCCAAATAACAGGACATATCCAGCTCTGTTTACTGTGTGTGTAATTGGGGATGGAAACAGGAGAGGGCATTGAGTAGTCACATGCATGCATTTTTTGCATGTCAGTGTATGCAGTAAATCATAAGCAATATTACAGTTTCATTAATCAAAATAATTCTCAAGATTTTCTGAAATATTTTATTTTTGTTAACCTGCAATTCCCTTTTAGAACTGCTGCTTGTAGGTGGTGATTTCTTCCATCACATGCTGGTTCCTATTTGAGAAACCAGTAATCACTGAAAAAGGCATATGAATATGTGCCTTTTTCTTATGGAATATGAGAAACTAGCTTGGTCAATGCTGCTAAAATTGTTGCCTGTAGGCCAAAGTTGGCCTGTGTGTACACTGGCCCTGCAGTATTTTAATAACAAAATATAGTGTGATGTCATAAAATGCATTGTTAAAAATCAATTGGAAACCTACATTATTTTTTGTATATTGGTTTGTCTTTTTGGCCCTTGGCCCATCAAACAATGCACAGATGTCATGTTTCTGGAGCACTAGAAGCACAGGCAGAACAACTTAAACTACAGCTGGAATATGATAGGAATGGAGGAGGATAAGGTGTGTCCACTGGAAAATTTACCTTCATCCTGCACTTGCTGACGTGCTCAGCCATATATGATGAGGTGGAGGCCAAGGATTACATGTTGCTCAGGACTCTTACTGTCACTCTTTTGTCTGTTGTTTTGGCACTCCTTAAGCTTAAATTAGTGGAGGCTGAATTTTACTTCTGCATCTATGAACATGTGAGGGTTTTGTGTGCATTCGTTTGCATAGATGTCTGCCAACATACAGTTGTGTGCAAAAGTTTGGGTGCCCCTGGACAAATTATATGTTTTGCTGATTTTTTAAAGTGAAAATTAGTACACAGCCTCTACAAAGAACACACTTATGCACATTTTAATACACAGTTACTCTTTATTTGCTGAATTTAAAGCAAATAAATAGAAATTGTGCACTAAAATAGCAAATTAACTTATTTTCACTTAGAAAATCAATTTGGCTAGAGCTGTTCAAAGTTTTGCATACGACTCTACTTGCATATAAAGTAAACGTTCGCGGTCGCAAACATTGAGTCAAAAAGTTTGGGCACCCCTGAGCTAGATGATTTCTGATATTTCAGAGTACTTGAAAATACTTGGAGAATTTACATCATAGCAAGTAACTTTTAATTTGTTTGTTTGTTTTGTTTGTTTTATAAAACTATGTTTTGATTGTTGTTGATGTGGAAAAGAAGAGAAGAGCAAACTCTGCTGATCTGTGTTCAGCTGTAGTTTTACAGTAAGAGTACTGACAAAGACCTAGTGAAGTAGAAAAAGGGAGAAGTTAGACTGGGAGACCTGCCTAAGAACCTGATGGCTTAATGCCTGTGAGACATGGTGTGTCAAAGGAGGAATGGGTTCTCTTTATGACCATCACAGACCATTGCTCTCTGTCGTAATCCTCTTACCATAGCAAGCTGTGTTTGCTACTAATACTATAATTAACTACTACTTGTTACCTTGACTCTTCAGCCCCCACCATCTGGGCAGAATGGCAATAGTAGAAACAGCATGTTGTAGATGCCTTCCTCAGGTTTCCTCTTTGTGTTTTTTACTGGAAAGGCAAGGCTTAATCTGTGTGATCAAATGGCATGTTGGCTTAGTCTTGCCCACAGGCCTCATTAGGCAAATTATCCAAGTTAATCAAAGCTCATTAGTAGCAGGACACTACAGAAAGATGTGACAAGACAACCGACTGGGTTGATATATCTGGAATGACCTACACTCCCTGAGCACTTTATTAGGTACCTACCTTGTATGTGCACTCAATTTTATCAGCTCCACGTACCATATAGGAGCACTTTGTAGTTCTGTATGACAAACTGTAGTCCATCTGTTTCTCTGCATACTTTGTTAGACCCCTTTTACCCTGTTCTTCAATGGACAGGACCTCCACAGGACCACCACAGAGCAGGTATTATTTGGGTGGTGGATCATTCTCAGCACTGCAGTAACACTTACATGGTGGTGGTGTGTTAGTGTGTGTTGTGCTGGTATGAGTGGCTCAGACACAGCAGTGCTGCTGGATATTTTAAACACTGTGTCCACTCACTGTCCACTGTATTATGGACACTCTTGCGTCATGGGTCCACCTTGTAGGTGTAAAGTCAGAGACGATAGCTCATCTGCTGCTGCACAGTTTGTGTTGGTCATCCTCTAGTTCTTCATCAGTGGTCACAGGACGCTGCCCGCAGGACGCTGCCCACAGGACGCTGTTGGCTGGATATTTTTGGTTGGTGGACTATTTTCAGTCCAGCAGTGACACTGAGGTGTTAAAAAATCCAACAGCACCGCTGTGTCTGATCCACTTGTACCAGTGCAACACACACTAACATGCCACCACCACGTCAGTGTCACTGCAGTGCTGAGAATGATCCACCACCCAAATAGTATCTGCTCTGTGGGAGGTCTGACCACTGAAGAACAGGGTAAAAGGGGGCTAACAAAGTATGCAGAGAAACAGAAGAACTACAGCCTGTAATTATAGAACTACAGAGTGCTGCTATATGGTAAGTGAAGCTGATTAAATGGACAAACAGTGTAGATACAATGTAGGTGTACTTAATAATGTGCTCAGTGAGTGTGTCTTCAGGTGTGATGGTAAAAGATTATAGTAGTGAATAAAAAAAAACACATTAAAACATAAATAGTATTACAAATCTTTATAATTTATTTATATATTTTTTTAAAAAATATGATTTGCCAATTGTATACACTTCTGTTGTAATCATTTCATCAGTTGTTGTTATTTTGTTGAATAATAACAGTGTTAATTGAAATACAAACAAGACATCAGAAGATATTTTAAGGTGCTTTATTCAGTATTTAAATGTTTTTGGAAACATTAAGTTATTAAATGTTAAATAACATACTGTTATTATTTAGTTACAGGTGTTCAATTTCTTATTAAAATATGAGCCATAAGATTTGATCACAACTTTATGAATCAATTCAATTAACTCTATGCTTAAAGTTATACAGTTTTCTCAGTATGGAATCATCTGTGGCTCTGTTCATTGTTTTGGACCCATCCGAAATTTCTTTTTTACTTTTTTTTCACCGCTTCCTGCAAATGATTTTAAACCTGTGAAGTTGTAGAGTATCTGCATCCTGTATAAGAAAAGTGGTTTTACATGACTGAAAACAGTGATTCCAAGCTTTTAAGCATTAGTGTGGATATTATATATAAACATAATTTGCTCTTTAGTCTTTTGTCATTTACAAAAATTTTACATTTGTTCTGGTATAGGGCCATCTAGTGAGTGTACCTAGTAGTGCAGCTAGTTTGGCTTATTGGGTTTAGGCTGTGTTTTATATTGTCCCATAAAACATGTGTCAGCATTACAAATCAGCACTGTAACCAAAGGGGATAGCTGTGGATCTGAATACTTAATAATAATAATAATAATATAAATATAACCTGTTACTCACCTTGTTTTTCATTTCAGGCCAAATATTAATGATAGAATGCACGGAAAGGAGGCAGCTGGTAACACTGAAATAGGGGCTAAATGTTTGGGGAATAGTGAGATCTCTCCCTGGGCTTTACTCTGATCTGGTTCGGGGCATTCTGACCTGAACGCTAGCCTACTTTCCATTGTTCTCCGACGTGTCTGTCCAAGAGTCACAGATTTCTAGCAATGACTTTCAACGGGAAGCCCCTGTCTTATGTTTAGCTCCTCTGTCCTAGATAGCATGGCCCACGGTCAGTCCTGGCCTAAATGTCAGACATCTACATTTTAATAGTCTCCTATTATAGATGCCTTTCCCACTGTGTTGTAAATTTGCTGTCAGAAGACGCATATGACACTCTTTTTCTCTCAGGCTGAGGGCAGGCAGTGTTTTATGAAGCTAACAAAGAACACACAAGTCAAGGAAATGGGTGAAGCCCACTGTGGTTCCTCGATTTATAATCCAGGCTGTGTTCCCATCATTGAGGGCCACACAGAGAGAAGTCATGGGACTGTGGCTGATGCTGTCTGTGGCTGACCTGTTTCTGAAGGCCATGTTGCAGTGAGTGACTGGTGGTGGCTCCTAACTTTACCACTGACCGCTGGGCCTTTTGTAGTCTCTTATCTGATGAGTATACAGTGTGTAAGACCTGGCGAAACACCTCAGTGGAACAGCAGTGGGTGAAGCTAAACATCCTGTAGGGATAGGATAATTGAGGAAACTCACAGAAAAAGACATTTGAAAGGTATTTAGGTCATGGAGATTTTTAGGAATGTGTTTGTTCGTTTTAAGGTGAAGGA